CTTGCCGGAAGACATAGGGGATCCAGATGTAATGCTGTCTCATAGTCTTGTCTGAAGAATTGGGTAAAAAAGGTTGATAAAATGCAGGTAAGGCATTACATTACATTATTACCCCAGTTCTAGGTTAAAAGTGATTTATTATATATATTTATTTATTTATTACAAATTTGGCACAGTAAAATATAAATAATTTTGCCTGTATTACACTGACCAGGAATATGAAGGATGGAATTATCATTCCCTGATCATAGCGATCGGTTTTCTTTTCTTATAGAATTGGAATTTAAAGGTACCTTGCCATCCTGACAGCTATTTCATGATGAAAGTCGATGAGGGCGTTGCCCCGTCCAATATAAGCATCAAGAAAGAACGAATCTATCTCCAGGGCCTCCGTGTACACTAACACAGCAGTCTCCAATTCATTCAGTCTGCAACCAAAAATGTTCATTGTTGGATTTTTAAAAAATTTTTTTTTTTTGGGGGGGGGGGGGGGGGAGAGGGAGGAAAGAGGTGGTATACACCACACAAGTGGACACAATCAGGCGCCATTGCAAACAAATAGCATCATCCATAGTTGAAAGCCGCACAAACTACTGTTATGTCATTTGGGACCTTGGGATTGGAAGGCAAGCATCTTAACCATCAAGCTATTCGACTCAACTCTCAACTTTAGCTTTGGAAGCATTTTTAAAGGATGATGATCCTATGTATAGATAATAAGTGAAGTTCTGAAATTTGGAATATATTTCATGAGAGTACAGTATCAAAACATTTCAATGGAATATTATCTTATTCTTAGTCTAAATTACAGTAAGTAAGCAACAAGCGATTCCACACAATTGTATAATTTGCGTTCCTATTAAGACACTTATAGGTTTTATGATTAAGTTATTATTCAATTATAGAGTTGACTTACTTATGACAGCATAACCCAAGTGTATGCCTTATTGTCACATTTCTTGGTTCCATCTGGAAGAGTGAAAATTTTAATAATTATTTTAAATATTATTGACAATATAGTAACAGTCATAAAATTAATAATAATAATAATAATAATAATAATAATAATAATAATAATACCCGCATACTGTAAACAAGTCATTGGTTTTGTATTTAAATAATAATGCAAGTTAAATAATGCTTTTTTCTAGTTGTTTGTTTACCTTAACGGCTTGTGTGAAATCTTCTTTGGCATTTTGAAAATCTTTTCTCTCAAAGTACATCAAACCTCTGTTAATTAGAACCTAAAACAAAAGAAATGCTTGTAAAAATTTTAAACACAAATACATGAGGCAAGATCTGCTCATGATGTCATTCAAATTCCACACACAGCAATGTTTTTGTTGATGACTCATAAGTGCGTCATCCGACGACCATCGGGTGCAGTGCATTCCCAGCTTTAAATTCCGAGGGTGTATGTACGGGCAAGTTGGCTTGACCTAAACCTATCCTTTCATTGTCTGCATGACGTAAACACATCGACAATCTTACATGTAGAAGTGGTTGGCGCATCGGTTGTGGCTTGGACTCCCAACCTTGAGGTCGGAGGTTCGAAACTCTCGTTGTGCAAGTCGCTTGTGTCCTTGGGCAAGGCACTTTATCTACGGTTGTCTCTCTCCACCCAGGAGTACAAGTGGGTACCTGGTATGTTCAAGCACAGCCTACGCTGAATTCAGCTGCAACATTATGGAGTTCCCAATTGGGGCTTGAGTGTGCGTTCCATATGTGCTTGATCCAGTGATAATATTAATTCTGTAAGTTACTAAGTTGGCTTTTTATGTTAAAAACCAAAAATATAGATTCTGGAGAAATCTGCTACAGGTCTCCCTCCAATTAAGGACCACTTCTGGGATGTGGTTTCAATGGTCTTTAGCAGCTTTGGTCTCTAATTAGAATAATAAACATAAGATATTTGTAAATTTTGGAGAACAGAAAAAGTGGTCGTTAATTGGAGGTGGTCTGTAATTGGAGGAATCTTTAACACTCTGCCCGCAAAACATGGAGATCTCCGTGTTTGGTAATGCAACGCTTGACCGATTTATGGAATCCGATAGTTGGGGAAATTACCGTCATGTACTAAAAATTTGAACACTATATTCAGTCTGGATAGTAAGTATTTCACTATATGTTTGTTTACCTTAGCGTAGAGCGGTATTGATTTACTTTCAAGAAATCCCTATTATCTCAGCTTCGTGCGAAACTGCGTAAATCTCCAAAAGTAAGTGATTTTCTTTTTACTGTTACGGGTCATAGATTGTGATTAAAATAAAGTGTTTGGTACCATTGTAAAGCTAAAATGGTTGTAGTTTTTGTAGTATTCACTATATGTCAATCTGATTACATATGCACTCTCAACGAGCTTCCGAAAGGTGTTAAAATTTTCTAAAAGATCTGGCAGTGGCTGATACTATTTTTTCAAACCCCTGGCGGTCAGAGTGTTAATTGGAGGGAGACCTATATTGCCAAAATTAATAAGACATATAAATCAAATTTATATAAATATGAATATTAAAATTATTAAATGATTTGAATAAAATAGTGCTTGTACCTTTAGAGAATTCTCTTCACCCAGCAAGAGGACAATGCCATAATCTCTCA